GAAAGATTGCCTACCTCTCAAATTATAGGTGTCTATTATTATGTATTTGAGTTATCTTGTTTGGTGTTATTAAATCAAAATATATGTTTGCCCTCGTTTATGGAAAAAAATTGGCCCAACTTCGTATCATAAGCTACACAATCTCAATTGTTGATTCTTAAATGTACAATAATGAAGCAATCTAAGTACTTCAGAATCTATTAAATTGATTGAGAAATATCATTCAAGAATTGAGGAGACTTTAGATGATGAACATTAGAAAGCTCTTCAAATGATCTTCTCAAATTAAGCTTAAAACTAATGTTTGATTCCATATACTGGCTAAGGAGTTAGAGGGATGTTTATATAGGCAAATAATGATGGCTACTGCAACCTCCATGTAATCTCTTGGAGTCCCTAAAATCATTAAATGCAAACTAGCCGTTAGACTTGAGTACTGAATGATTGTATGCATGATACCTTATTGTGTGTATAATCAATTCAAATTTTCGAAAATTTTGTTTTGCTCTTATGTATGATTACCAGTTAAGAGAATTTGATGTTCTTTGCTTGAGGATGGTGGCAGTGCAATACCTAACGTTTATATACATAATGGATTGTTAAATATAGTCATTGGATGAGCACATGTACAATGCACAATAATATATACAATTTTACAATAAATTATTTTTTAATAATTTTGTATAGCATCTCTCAATTATGATAAATTTATATATAATTTTGAACACAATTTCTTTAGTACTTATATTAAAAGAGTATTTTCTATTTCTAGCTCATGTGTTCATTGCTTATTGAGATTTTAGGTCAAAGCAAATTCAAACAATTTATAATGAGATCTAAACACACAGCTAGGTTAAAATAAACTTGGATAGATTTATGCACTTCAAGTTTTCATAAATAATCCTATTGAAGTACGACTCCAAGTGATCGAAGCTCCAAGCTAATCTAGTGAACACTATTATCCTCATCACGATTGTTGTTATATGAATAACTTGTAGAATCACTTAACAAAATATTAAATGTCATTACATATGATTTGTTATTACATAATATTTAGTCTTTAATTCAGTTATAACCATATATAAGTTATATGAGCTCATGGTGTCAATCGAAAGCACGTAATTGTGAGTTGCCTCTCGATGCCTTAATGTTCATACATCTTGTCGAAAGCACGTAATTGTGAGTTGCCTCTCGATGCCTTGATGTTCATACATCTTGTCATACTCAATAGATGTTCATACATCTTGTCAATTTTATTCTTTCCCAATATCACTTTGAAGCATCTTAATGTAGTTTCAACTTTATTACTTACGTCATTTAAACAATTTGAAATATAATGAATGCGTCAGATTTTTGCCTGATAAAAAGAACATAGTCAGAAGAGAGTAATCATCAATAAATAGGATAAAATGCTTATTTCAAATATGAGATGTTTTTGTAGGACCACATGTTAGTTTTTACCAGCTCTAAAGTTTGATTTCCTCTTCAAGCCTCTTCTTTTGGAATGATTGTTAGTGATGCCATCCGATTGTGCACACCCTTGACAGCATCATCTTCTCATGAATACTTGGAATGCTTTGTATTATATTCTTTTGAAATTGAATTTCATATTTTCAAATTTTAAGTGAGAAATCTTTTGTGCCATAATCATGACTTATCCACCATATTTTTTTTTTTAATTTCAACATCTTTAGTACATTTGAGAGTCCGAGAAGCCGTTATTCACCATTTTTTATTCATTGTGGAAATAGCCTCTTGTCCTTCTCTTAAAAAACAATTCATGCACCAACGTCAAAGTGAAGTGAATACCCATGCTCTACAAGTTGTTTAACTTTTCAAACTTTGATTTAAATCTAGAACCAAGAAAACATATTGAATAAATTTAGCCACCATTTTGGTTTGAATTGCAATAGTGCATTTTTCTTTCACCTCCACCAAGGCCCTACTGCCTAACATAACTTGAGAATATGATAACTTATATCTATATCAAGAACGATGTCATCATTTGCGGTCATGTGATGCCTGCAATTGCTGCCCACCAACCATTGATTTTTTTTTTAATATTTTTACTCGGCCACACTTTTTTACAGCCATAAAACAAGTTACCATCATCTCCTCAACAATAATCAGTGAGGTATCCTTTGTGTCCTCAATAACAACAATTTTACTTTCAAACTTTAAAGGAGGATTAATTAAAACTTTGTTTATTTAATCTCTTGCCTATCATTATCCTCACTCCTCATCTGATTGACAATATGAATGAGCTTGTTAGAACATTTTGTAGGAGGTTTCCTTCTCATTTATCATTAAATTTTCAAACTCTCTTCCTGCAAGAATGGAGTTTGACATTGCACCTATTGATTTCCTTGGTTTTCTTTTTTCGAAACCTCCTTGCTTTGCTTTTGTGGCCCTGATTGTCCTTTGAAAGTTTTATCTGAAACCCTTTGCTGACTATAGGGGAGGAACTTCCTTTTGAAAATGGATGATGATGTCGATTTTTGGATAATGCTACATTCCTATTATATTAAGAGGCCATAATCAAATAAAGTATTTTTAACTTCAGTTAAATTTTAGTCTTAATCCTCAATGGTTCATGCATAAACTGGTTTATAATTGTGATCCTTGATTGTATTGAATATCCATCTAACTGAAGTAGATGAAATTAAATTACTTGATTTGATTGAACAACCGGTTTCTGCTCTTACTGTTGTAACAGGGCAAAGTTGGATGATAATGCTCCATTGCTTGATTTCACTGAAAAGCTTGAAGCTGCCTGCATTGGTACCGTGGAGTCGGGAAAGATGACCAAAGACCTTGCGCTAATTGTCCATGGACCCAAGTAATGTTCACTTCCTTTGGCTTATAGTTTGGAAAATTTACATGCCTACCACCCAATTATTTGTCTTTACATGCCTCACACCTAAACTTTCAAATCTACACACAAAAATCATATCAAAAATAGCACTATTACCACTTCTTAAAAGTGAAATACACATTTTCATGCACATACATCTTCATGCATAGATTTATAGCACAAAAGTCAAGGTGTGCTATGCATGTAAATATGAAAGTTTAGGTGTGATTTATGTAAATACATATGAATTGTTTTCTCTGAATCTTGAATTCAATCATGTAGTCCCTTTGAAGTGAAGGAAAAGAAATATTTTTTTTGTATTTAGGGTAACCAGGCAACTGTATCTGAATACCGAGGAGTTCATTGATTCAGTAGCTGAGGAGCTGGAAAGAAGGCTATCTACCTAATCAACATTAGCTGATGAAAACACTTTTATTTGGTCCTGTAATAACTCCGCTCACCCCCAAGCTGGAATTTAACTTTCAAGACGAGTAAGGCTTCTCAAACCCCTAAACTTGATATAGTTTCTACACTTATCTCACTCGACTATGAAGGAGCATGAGCTTTGATAAGTTGGAAGATCAACGTTTCATTTTTATTTAAAATAAGAATGTAGTGTTGAGATGCTTGTCATCTTTTGCCGGATTTAAAGAGAAATTTCTCTCAAGATACAAACCATATGAGTTTTCATTTAAAGTAGCTTAAAATTTTGAGATCTGAGTTAAATGTTCATACTTTGTTCTTTAACAAGATTATTAGTATTAACTACTTTAATTAAAGTGATCCTGTTTCTATTGTTCTTTATCAAGCTTAATAGTATTAACTACTTCTAGCAAGCAAGTGGCTTAATCAATTATATTACTGGACGATTTATCAGCTTGTCCGGAGTTTCCGAACCCAACGAAGATTGTTGACCTCCATGTATATTTCAGATTTAATTTGTTTGGGCGTGAAAAAAAAAAAAAGGTAACATGCGAAGAATAAGACGATGCACATATTGAGTGCAAGTTAGTTTGATCATCTCGGAAGCGATACAAGTGTCTCCCATTCGCAAAGAAGATCGACATAGATGTGGCTAGCTCATGTATGAATGTGATAATGCAAACGCCGAGTTTAAACTAGATCAATTTTCGTCGGACTTTTCGGATTGACACATTTAAGTTTTGAGCATACTTCGGGTCTCCTTATGTGAAAGCAAAATATAATTATGTAAGAGGCAGACGATTTAAACTTTGAGACAAATGAAACCCATTCCTGAAGATGGTCAATGTTGACAAGCCTGAAATGTCAAAATTTGCTTGGTGAGACCCCGCACGAGCACAAAATGCGACAACTACCTATGCACCTCGCCAGGCTGACGACATGCATTTTTAAGGCGCTTAAATGATAAATATTATGAGCCATATATATTTATATATAATGATAATAATAATGATAATAATAATAATAAGTATAAAAAATAAAAATATTTAAATTATATTTTGCTTGGTGAGACCCCGCACGAGCACAAAATGCGACTACCTATACACCTCACTAGGCTGACGACCTCACTAGGCTGACGACATGCTCTTTTAAGGCGCTTAAATGATAAATATTATGAGCCTAAGTATAAAAAATAAAAATATTTAAATTATATTAGATTAAGCTAATCTTAGATTATATTATATATTTACTTTATATATATTAATGATATATATAATTATATATAACATTAATGATATTACTATTATATATAATTATACATGCAATATTATATATTTACTTTATATATATTAATGATATTACTATTATATATAATTAAACATTTAATAATTTCATTACAAATTAAAATACTAAAAAAAATTTATATCATCTCTCACATCCTCGATCAGCTCATTATGTACCTGTATGTGCATCTCTTCGAGAAAATATTATGAGCATTGTTCGAACGTAACTCTACGTAATCTTAATTTGGCATGTGGTCCACACTTATTTTTTAATTAACTTCATTAATAGTTGAGAAGCCCGACCTGAAAGGACTCAATATTGTGCTACATATGTTTCAAAAACTTTTTGCACATTTCAAATCTTGTTTTTAGGATTTCAACATTTTACGGTAGTATTTCTCACAGTCACCGATATTGATTCCGTTTTATGGCTTATTGTGTACTCACTTTGGGCACTGTTACTGACATTTCTCATCTATAAATCAACGTAGGGGACTTGACATTGATTCCGAGTGTAATATTTTTTCGAAGAAACAACATTCTCTTTATATTGAATACAACCATGTTGTAGTCCACATTTTGGCTTTAGATTAAATTTCTGACCATAATGTGTTGCCGAAACTTACTGCTTTGTGAAAGACACAAATCTAATTTTAATTGCTCTTTTCTTATTTTGAGAGCATATGTTTGTCTCCTCAACATGGTTGTATTTCAGTATTTCCTTCAGTACAATTATATTGTAGTGCACATTTTATATTTAAGTTTAAGATCATTATGTGTTGCCCAATCTTGTTATTATATGGTTAGAAACAAATATATTCGATATTAATTACATTTTTAATATTTTTAATAAATTTTTTTATTGAGTACAACCACTATTTCACTATTTTTTTTCTTGAATACAACATTATTTTAGGCACTGGGCTTAGCCCTGACATTCTAATCTTTTATTTTAAAGCATTTTTAATCTTCATTATATATTATTTAAGAATTTTTTTCCATATTTTCTTCACTACAATATGATTATATTTTACATTTCCCTTCAATACAATTAAATTGTAGTGCACATTTTGTTGTGTTTAAGTTTCTTATCATAATTTGTTGCTCAATCTTGGTACACACATGTATCTGATTGTATTGTAGTATAATATTTTTTTGTACAACCGCTATTTCACCATTTTTTTTTCTTGAATATAATTTTAATTTAGACATTGGGCTCTGCCATGACATTCTAATTTTGCATTTTAAAACATTTTGTCTTCATTAAATCTTGTTTAGGGATTTTGTTTATATTTTCTTAACTACAATATGGTTTTATTTCATATTTTTCTTCAGTTGAATCAAAATTGATAAGGGTGCGGGTGGGTGTGGGTGTCAAAGTCGGGCATCCTCTTCTAACGTTCTTCTTCGTTAGATAACACTTTGCACTTTGCTCCATGCCCATCGCGCTCGCCCTTTAAGTGGAGAGGGAGACTGTCCCTACCCTTAGTCGACCATTGCAATAAAGAGAATAAATTTTATTTATTAGTGCACATAACATATACTATGTAATAAAATAAAAACACAAGAATACATAATAAACATAAAACACATAAGTATGCGATATACAGGCAGCCGACACTGTAAAGTGCAAGATACATCTATTTTCACGATGGCAAAAGTAAAAGACTTTTTCCTTCATACCTGAATCTCGCATGAAACCTGTACCCATTTGCATCGTAAATTTTCCAGATTTTCACGATGCGGATAGGTCCCCAAGCAAGAACTATCAACCTCTGATCTGCCACTCCATTTCTCCAATCATGAATTTATTAATTTATACATAAGAAATCCTATGTCAATGAAAAACCTCATGTCACATGAGGAATGAATATGTCAATTTTAACTCACATGCATTGTAAACAACTAAGGAAGGTTATTCTCGATCTTCCTCGTATCATCATTTCAACTAAATTTAACAAATCCATGAATAAACTGTTCACACATTGAAATATCATTGAAATAGTTAATCATGACAATTGTTCATATAAATGAGTTAAAAATTATAATAAAAAATTTTCTTAATAAATGGTTGTACTTCGTCGCAATTGAGAAGAACAAAAAGTGTCACTTCTCAAAGTTCCTAATCATTAATGTAAAGTGATGTGCACCTCCCAAATGCTTCACCGAACTACTGGAAAACATAGAGTCAATGGTGGCACCTAACCCAATGACTCTTTCATGGACTCTTCTTCCATGAAATAATAAGAGTAGAATGTAGTTGTCTCTTGCAGTAAAAGTGCTTCACATATCGATCTTTTGGGCCAGGCCTTATTCTTCACAGTTCTCTACAGTTTATTAAAAAATCTAAAAAATAAATATTGCTCAATACAAATTGCTAATATTCTTTATAAATGAGTGACTAACTATCTAGTCCCAATGCAATTAAGCTCAAATGGATACATCCAACGGTACTGTATTGGACCTTCAATTAATGACTCATGGGTAACCATCAAGTTGAAGAAATTAGGCAAAAATATTCTCTCAAGCTTACAAAGTGTTACAAGAATGTTTGCATCTAGCTGATGTATGTCATCAAGCTTCAAACGAGGTGCACATAATTCCATGAAAAACACACTATCTTCAATCAATGAATTAAGGACTTCACTTGTTAGACAACCAAATGCAGTTGACATCAAATTTTATAAAAAAATATGACAGTCTTGACATTTCATTCAAAAGATTTTTCCATCACCTACATGAAGCAATGGCTGAAATTCGAAGCATACTCACTCGAGAATTTTAGTGATTGGAGCCACTCACAAATTGTTCTTCCCTAGGACAAACTGAGGGAATATTTTGCCTTGGGCTTAATGAGCTTGCCGACAACAGTTTCTTGGATCTCCAACTCCCACCTTTTGCATATCTCCTTCAAATTAAGTCTGAAATTCACTTTTTCCTTTGTTTTTTCATTAACATCCATCATAGTGTTGAAGATATTATCAAAGAATTTTTTTTTGTATGTGCATGACATCTAGATTGTGTCTTATCATGTTATTCTTCTAATAAGACATATCCCAAAAAGTTGGCTTCTTTGTCCAACTATGAGTGACACCAAATTCGGGTGGATGATGTGAAGAAAGGCCAGGGCATATAGTAATATTTGAAATGTTATTAACAATCTGCATTATATCTTCCTCAGATATTCTTGGAGGTGGCAAGGTTTTCTCAATTTTATTTCTTCTGAATGCATTTTTGTTCCTTCTAAAGGGACGTTCAATATCTAGAAACATTCGATGACATTCAAACCATGAAATCTTCCTGTTATGCTGAAGTGTAAATGCCTTAGATGAATTCAAGCAATATTGGCAGACTAGCATTTCCTACAGTGCTCCACCCATATAGCATTTTATATGCAGGAAAATCACTTATTTTTCACATTAATATTGCTTTCATCAGGAAATTGTGTTTCCTAGAGATGTTGTACGTCATGAAGCCTACTTCCCAAAGAATTTGTAACTCATATATCAACGACTACAAATATACATCAATCCTCCCTTTAGGGCTACTGGGACCAGATATAATCAATGTCAGGAAGAAGAAATGGGTTTTTATGCACATCTCAAGTGACAGATTGTATGGTGTAACAATTACCGACCAACAAGAGTAGGGCCATGTGGTCTGACCGTACGATGTGAAGCAGTGAAAACTTAAACCTAGCCGAATATTACGTTCCTCTACAACAAACTCAAGATATGAGCGATCAAAAGATTTCCACGCCTCCCCATCTGCTGGATGACTCATTGAGTTATTTTCTCCTAATCGGCTCTGATGCTACGTCATATGTGGAGCTGTACGCATAGAATTGTATAGCCTCTGTAGACTTGGAATAAGTGGTAGGTAAAAGAGTTGCTTAAACAAAACTTCCTTTTGCCTCTTACTTTTTCTGCTTTGAGGCTTAAATCTAAGAGAATTAGAAAAATTGCATTGAGTCTCCATCACACTA